CAGTAGAGCGTGTTACCTCATTGAGATTAGATGGCGTGACAGCAAAATGAACAAATCAGTAAATAGGAAAATTAATATGTAAATATCTTATGAAAACATTGAGAATTAAGTGACATTGGAACAAGGTTTACCAATAGAGAGACGAACTGTACGAGCGAGCATAATGAGTCCTAGAAGGGCTAAGAATAGGACATGATAGGATATATTATATGTTATGTGTCATTTTATTTATCGTTTTGATTTATTATGTCAGTTCCTTATTAATGTTATATGTGTACATTTTTAGTATTGTTATTTTTGTCATCATTGTGCCATATCACAGCTTATATTGTTAGTATCATAAATTATAATAATATTATGTAATTATTATATGATCATTTTATTGTTATTTTTGAATATTGTATAGCCAGTGAGATTATTTTATGATTGTTATCGCATATTATTATCTTCTGGCATCACCGAATCGTCTGTCAACCGGCGCTTCAACGCAATAATTAAAATTAAGCATCAAATGAAGCTGATAATTTTTGAGCTGGAGCGAGTGAAAATTTTGGTCTCTTCGAATGTAGAAATTTAGCCACCCAACCTCCGCCCCCCCCTCCATATTATTCAATCTCTCAATGGTGGATATAATGCGACAAAAAAACCAAGCGTAGAGCGGTTGATCATTTCAAGACATTAGAAATGAGAGAGATATGCCCTCAAAAACTCCTTCCTGATATTTTGGGCATCCATACTTCATTATAGAAGGGGAGTCATATGGCGGTCATGCCAGCTCCTCAGCGCCAAAAATGGAGGGTAATATTATTATTGGGGAATATTTATAATATCGTAGTCATCATATTATAATGATGCTACAATGGGTTCNGGGTACTGGTATTGCAAGAGAAGTACTCTGGGTAAAGGTTGAGAGTACTTTGGGTTCGGGATAAATACCTCCATTGGCGCTTGTGGGTTGGGAAATTATTATAAGTAATTATGGGTGAGTATGGTCACCGCTCGAAGCTAGGTTTGAGTTCGCCTAAAACCACTGAGAAACTAGCTGGTCATCTTCATCTGCTAACGAGAGAATTGAAATTTGGGTGGAGAATATTTTTGAGGGCTAATAGCAAGCATAGCGGAAATATCAGATGCCCCTCTTCAAAATAGAACGAAAAGACAAGCTCAAATGATAATTACATGAAGCGCCGAGCAATTGATTCAAATCAACGGAGCGGATCGACGAACAAATAAAACAAAAAAAACAATGAAAAAACAAAAAAAAAGAATTTAAGAAATAAAAATAGAAAAAAAAATCAAAAAATCATAATTAAAATATCAAAATTGAAAAAAAAAATATAATAATAAAAATTATTTCAAATAAAAATTCAAGTTTGAAATAATTTTTCACTTGTATGTGTGAAATTAGGTCTTATTTATATTGTATAACTTATTAATTTATTTACTGTTAACTACTATCGTCCTCGTTCTGCATGCAAAGTCCTTGTCCTTGTCCTTGTCTGCATGA